CCCCAAAACCCCAAAACCCCAAAACCCCAATAAATAATATCTGGTGTTTCAGTTGAATATTAATTCAAATTAAGATATAATATGAATGATCAAAGACCTAGGATTTCATTCAATTCGTCATCATCTAGATCATCTAATTCACACTTTTACTCCTCTATTTTAATTTCCTCTTTTACTTCCTCTTTTTACTTACTTTTAATTTTATTGCCAGCTTTTTAAGTCATAACCCCAACCAGATCTTCGTCATTAATATCTGATTAAGAACCTTCAATTCTATCGCTATCTTTATCTTATGATTCCTAGCTGATCTATTTATCTTTATTCGTAACATGTTTTTATTCCTTTAGATATTCCTGTTGTCGATTGTCAAGATGCTACCTTAAAAACATGTTTTCAAGAGTTAAATTTCCCTTTTGATAGATCTAAACTGGCGCAAGAGGATCGATTGCTTGAAAATCTGTATTTTGCTAGTTTTAAGTTAGTTAAGTATATGTGGCAAAGGCTTGGGTATTCCAATTGACTTATGTGTCCTTTATTTCATCATAATTTTATCCAAGCGTTTATTGAACTCTAAAGTTTTGCAAATCAAGTTAGAGAGGCTCAAGTTCTGAGTATAAACTCTAGTTTTAATTGTATAATAGTTTATAGATGTATTCATCTAAAGTGTATCTACCGTAGAGATAAATTATGTTATTAGCTGATTTCTAGCCAGGTGTATCTATCATCTTCTCAGCTCTTTCAATATACAGGGTATTCCAAAACGTCTCAGCAAACAGAATGATAGTATTAGGCGTATTGAATTTAATATCTGATAGATCTTCACTCAAGTCTATCAAAACAGCTTTATACTCATCTTCATTGTTAAATTTATCACATATATCTTGCTTATAATCATCATCCACATTTTTACCTAGAAATAAAAACTTAGTCTTTCTAGATAAATGATCCTCAATAGAAGTAATAAAGGTTAGATGATAGCTGAATATCAAAACTCTCATTCCATTTTCAAGAATATTATCAATTATATCTTGTGTAACTTTTAACTTTGCAAGACCTGAGTAATCATATAAATCTCTAAAAATCTACTTTAACGTCTTTTGAAAGCTAGGTCTACTATCATCAGTTGGATCACATAAAAATTTAGTTTAATCTTTATTAGGATTTTCGTAAAAATTTTGGAACATCTCTAAGAAGAAACTTTAATTAGGGTGTTAATCCTCCCAAGGCTTCACATAGTTTTATAGCAGTGATTGAATTTTCACTACTATTTGAGTTTCAGCTGTAATTTCGAGTTTTTATCTCATTCTGTCTGGGAGTTCACTGAAGATGTACTTTCGCTTATAAATAGTCTGAATTCTCTTATCTAGCAATTACTTAAGCTCAATCATGTTACCGGCATTGGTGAAATCAATTCCTTCGAAGGATTATCTTGGATCACAATATCTATATCCAAACTCATAAAAGCCAGGCATTATATCAGGTCTTACTATACGCATGAGACTGTAAATCTCTTGAGGCTTTTTTGTTAAGTTACATCCTGTTAAAACAATAGATCTTTTCATATTACTGATTAAATTAATCAAAATTTTGCCATTTTTAGACTCTCTTGCTCTAAAAATCTATGCTTCGTCGGCGATGCAGACTTTAAATTTATAATCTTCAATTTTATTTGCCATAATTGCAGCGTGATCGTAACTTATTATAGTTATAGAATACTACTAATCAAAAGCTTAGGATTCATTCTTAATTATCTATATTTTATTTATGTCATAGCCAGGTAACCACTTCAAAATTTCATATCTCCACATGTATAGAGCAAATTTAGGACACAATATCATGAGTGGCCATTCATTTTTATAGGCTAGTGATAAGCCAAGTGCTTATAAAGATTTACCTGTTCCAAAATCATCATTAATTACAATCCTCCCATAGAACTTGATCCCCTTCTTGATTCCATCTCTTTGGAAAGAGTATAGCGATCTATATATAAATGGAGGTAGAAATTCTTCTAATTTCAGTCTGATAGTTTTATCGTTTTTATATTCATATTTAGTTTTCCTTCCATTTTGCAAGGTATAAGGTATTTGTATTTTCATTAAGTTTATTGCAAATTGAGGTATATCTTCAATGTGTATATTATTGACGTGGCATATTCTTTTCAAGTCCACCATTAATGATTCATAATTCAATGCACTTATCACCCATACTCTCATTTCAGGAGAAAATCTTGAATTCTTTATTGTCTTCGGATAAGATTAAACATAAATGTGAGCTTACACTAATTAAACTTTTAATTTCGTTTGAGAAAAATTTATGAAAGCTGCAAGCAAAAGTATGTTCTGATAGAAGCTCAAGCGCTATGTATTTTCTATAATGTAACCCTTTAACACTCTATATTAGATTAATTTTAACTCAAGTAGAAATACTTACACCATAGCCTTTGACATATTTAACCATTGGAGGGGCATCCTTATCCTAATTTTCATTTGAAGGTTTTCCCACGATTCTACCATACGTAACAGTATTAGTAAATGTTATAGTTTCTGGCATGGAGTATATTTCTTATGCCTGTGAGAATTCAATCTCCTTTGCTTGCTATCCTTTGTTTTTCTAAGAAGGGGCATTGAATGACTCAACAATTAAATCATCCTTGTTGACTCCATCAGGATCAAATATTCTATATAAGTTAATAATGATAAAAGCTTTACTTCTTCCTGCGACGGTTTAATCTAATATCATTCACTATGTACCCATCACTGATCTATGATGCGGAAGAGGCATCTGCTTTTTGATTTCGAAGTCTTTTCAAATACATTCTATTCTTTTTGAACCAGTCTAACCTGTTTTACTTTTTACTGATAGCTGAGTCATCATCTTAGGTGATTTCTTTACCTAGTTCAGGGTACTAAGAATCAAGATCATTATCATTCATGTATTCACTTTGCTAACTTTGTTCCATAATTCCATTGTTCTTTCCTCCATCGAAAGAAAAACTGCTAAATGGATTACTCTCCTCAGGATTGGCCTTGGATTTTCAAGATTTATACGGCCCTCTTTTAAAGCCAAATGGCTTTGATGAGGATCCATACTTTTTAAACCTTTTTGTTACATGCTCTTTTATGTCTTGGTTATTGTCATCATCGTCTTCAATGTTACTGCCCCCATTTGGCTTAGAATGACTGAATGTGAATACTTTTTTCAGTTTTTATTACTTTTTCTTATTATCTGCACCTGCTTTTTTCTTAATGACTCTTTTCTTCATAAATATATTACGTTTTTTGCCATGGTTATTATCTGAGTCATTCCCAGAGTCATTATCCATAAAATTGATCTCGCAGTCTGACATAGTCTTTAAATAGAAGTTCTATGAATAAGTTTTAAGGGAAAATATAATTATAAGAGATTATAATTATGAGTTTCAATTTAATTACAACTAAAATATGACTTATCTCTTATTCTCAATATTTTTGCAACTTGGGGTTTTGGGGTTTTGGGGGTAAATCTAAGTCAAATGA